AGGGCTGCTCTCCATCCATTCTTCATTTTTATTCTTCATTTATATCTTCATTTTTATCTCTGTTCCCTCTCATCCAGCTGATAAACTTCCTGGAAGCCAACGAGGTCCCCCGCCCTGTGACCATTCGTACCAACACGCTCAAGACTCGGCGACGGGACCTGGCACAGGTGAGCAGGAACCTGGGGTGGTCTCCTGTGCCGCCCGTCACAAGGGGCGGTGTCTCAGTCCCGTCTCCTTGTCTTGCAGGCTCTAATCAACCGCGGCGTGAATCTCGACCCCTTAGGGAAGTGGTCGAAAACGGGGCTCGTTATTTACGACTCCTCCGTTCCCATCGGTGAGATCACGCTCCCTCTCGGAGGGCTGACCCGACCCACTCTTGGCTCACGTTCTTTAACGTGCCAACTCCTCTTCTTCTGCCTTCCCTGCCCAGGTGCCACCCCGGAGTATCTGGCTGGGCACTACATGCTGCAAGGAGCCTCCAGCCTCCTCCCTGTCATGGCGCTGGCCCCGCAGGAGAACGAACGCATCCTGGATATGTGCTGTGCCCCAGGAGGCAAGACCAGCTACATAGGTACCACCCTGGAGCCTTGGGGCTGGGATGGTCTGTGACCCTTTGAGTTTCCACTGGTCTAAACAGAAAGGTGGAACGGGGTTGGGGCTGAACCTGGGGAAGGGACGGGGGTGGCCATCCCTCCAGGTAAAAGCACAGGAGGTTTCCAGCGCTGTGTTTTGCCCTCCGGCAGCTCAGCTTATGAAGAACACGGGTATGGTCTTGGCCAACGACAGCAACGCCGAGCGGCTGCGTAGCGTGGTGGGGAACTTGCATCGGCTGGGAGTCACCAACGCGGTAGTGAGTAACTGCGATGGACGCCAGTTCCCCAAGGTACGTGTGTTCCTGCCTGCTCTGGGGCGTCCACCCCGCGCTCGCCTAGAGCTGCTGGGCTGTCCCTTCAGTACAGCTCTGCTCTCTGAAGCCGCTTGGCGCCGGACGACGAGAAGAGCTGCTGGGGGGGAGCGCGTTTGTCGTTTGCTACGGAGATGGGAAAAGTGGGCAGGGAGGAGTGAGGGAACCTGCCCTCCCAGTCTTCTGGTTCCCCTTCTAGTCTTGATCTTTTGCTGGGTCCCCACCTGTGAGCAGAATTCCAAACGTCTATCTGCCTGTAGGTGCTTGGAGGGTTCGACCGGGTCTTGCTTGACGCTCCATGTAGCGGAACAGGCGTCATTTCCAAGGATCCTGCCGTCAAAACCAACAAGGTGAGTGACCGGTGGGGACCCGAAATGGGGACTTGAGTATGAGTCTTGAGAGAGGGAGGACTTCAGGGCAGCTTTGTTCTTGAGAGATGCCTGCAACAGGGACGCTGTTTTTCCCCTTCTCTTTCCTATTCCACATGTTGTACCAGAGCTGGGGTTTTTTTGAGGTTGGTTCTGCTGAAGTCTCCAGAATTTTCTCTATCCTATGTGCTTTGCTGTCCTGTCATCCCGTCGTCTACATCCCAACCTATCTTTCTCTTTCAGGATGAGAAGGACATCCTGCGCTGTGCTCACCTGCAGAAGGAGCTGATCCTTAGCGCGATAGATTCGGTCAACGCTGCCTCGGAGACGGGGGGCTACATCGTCTACTGCACTTGCTCCGTCACGGTCAGTCCCTTCCGTGCTCTGCTGTGCCCATTTCCGGGCACTGGTGTGCTTTGGAATCCTAATGCTTGTTCTCCGGCAGGTGGAGGAGAACGAGTGGGTGGTGGATTACGCCTTGAAGAAACGCAACGTCCGTTTGGTGGCCACAGGCCTGGACTTCGGCAAGGAGGGCTTCACCAGGTGCGTGCCAGGTCACAGGTGACCTTTTTAGTGGCCAGGTTTGGGCAGGGGAATTGGGTCACTCCTCACCCCGCTTCCTCCTCCAGGTTCAAGGACCGTCGCTTCCACCCCTCCCTCAAGTGTACGCGGCGTTTCTACCCCCACACGCACAATATGGATGGGTTCTTCATTGCCAAGTTCAAGAAGTTCTCTAATGCCATCCCCCGGCCTCAGAAAGGTAACCCCCCAGCGCTGGAGCTCAGCGGAGCTGCCCGGGCCTGCTCTCGGGCTGCTTCCCCCCGCAGAGGCCACGCGGGTGGCTCTCCCAGCGCCCTCCTCTCTCCTTTCAGAGGAAGAACCTGCTGTGGAAGCAGCAACTCCGTCCACTCTCCCCGATACCGTCACGGAGCCTCAGCCAAAAAAGAAGAAACTCGAGGCGTCAAAAGGTGACAAAGAGCAGAAGTCACCACAGCCCGCTTTGAAGAAGAGACGCTCGTTGCAGGCCCAGAGGAGACCCCTGAAGGCTGGCCGACCTTCCCCCAAAGTGACGCGCCCTCCGGCCCCTGCCGGAAAGAAGCAGAGAGTGAAACTGAACGGACAGTGAGAGGGGAACTGCTTTTCCAGGGGTCGGTCCCCTCCTTGGAGGGCAGCAGCCGGGGGCTCCCGCAGCTGCGCGTGTGCCACCCTGTCTCCTGCTCCGTGCTGCCCTCTCCGCAGCCCCGTTTGCCCCTCTCCTTCTGCACCAAGGCCTGGTGCACTGACCCATTAAACGTTTTATACCCTTGCTCAAGTCTGGGCCTCTTCCCTCAAACTCGGAACGCGGAATTCTGCCATGCCCCTTGCTCCTCTGCAGCAGAAACCCCTTCCACCCGATGCTCTGGCATTTCTGGTGTCTGTTCTCGCGCTCCCCAGCACGGACGGCTCTGAAGAAGCAGCGGGAGCTGAAATTTGGACGAAGGTTGTACTGTGCGGCACCCGTCAGCAGGGCAGGGCTGGAGCTCCTGGGTCCTGAGCTCTTGTCACTGTGAGCTAATCCAGGTCACCGCTGCGATCGTCCCCATTTGATCCTCGCGCTGGGTCCAGCCGCCTCTCAGCCTCCCAGGCTGCGGCAGGGATCGCTGCTGGTCCTGGAGCTGCGCTGTCACCTTCGTTCCTTTTGGCTTTCCGTTCACCTGGATGCGGTCGCTGCCGCCGGGGACGCAACAAGCAGCGCTCTGGGCTGTTTCTGCCTGTCAGCCCGGGTCCCTCGCCCTTGTCGGTGTGCGCTGCTGTTCTCTGGTTCCGCTCTGCGGTGAGTACGTCCTCATCTAGGGGCAGCTCTGCCTTTTTCCAGCTCCCGCTCCGCCGCAGCGTGCGTGTAACAACCTGGCTCTTGTTTCTGTTCCTCGCCCACGAGGCTTTGCCTGGATTTGCTCTCCTCGCCAAGCTTTGGGGTCGCGGGAGAACTTGGCGGTGCTGTTCCAGTGTCTGGTGTTAAAGGCAGCTGAATACAGCGGACTCTGGGATCCAGGGGATCCTTGCTGTCCTGGTCTGTGCGAGGCTGCCGCTTTCCCGTGTTACCAGGTTCAGCGGGTGGCGAGGCCGAGTGTGAGCTTCACGCGCGTGCACACGCGCTGTAGGCGCGACCGGACGCGGACCAAGGAGCAGCGACCGAGGAAAAACGCTTCAGCGGCTGCCCAGGCAAAAACACAAACGGCACTGGCGAAAAGGGCCTAATCCTGTCCTTGCTGGGCAGCCCATCAAACCTAGGGTCTGCTCGCGGGTCTTGGATCTCTGGTAGCTGGTCCTCGGGCTTGGGGTCTGCCCGGCGTCCCTCGGCCGGCTCTCTTGCCCTGCTGACGGGCTCGGCGGGAGGCGCCCCCCCCCCCGGCGGTGAGTCTGATGCGAGGCCAGGCCAGATGGTGGTAATCGGGTGCAGGGCTCAGCTGAACCAGCAGCCAGGTTCCACCTGACTGGCCCCTGTTCCTTATTCCCTCTCTCCCTTTTCCCGTGCTTGCTTCTCCCCGAAACGGCTCGATGCCTCCCTTCAACCCTCCCCCTAAACACCCCATAGTGAGTTTCGCTCCCACAATCCTCCTTAAAACATTACGTGATAAACCTTACGCGTTGCCACCGTTCCCCTCACGCATCCCATAATAAATCTGCCCTTTTCCTGTAAAGCCCACGATGATTTTGCCGTCTCGCCAAGTCGTGCGCTTTCTGGCTGAAGCACTCCAAGGTTGCACTTGAGTGGTTCCTGTAACGGCTCAATCCGTCAGCGTCTCGGGAGTCCTGGTGTCTGTTACAGCCTCTGTTACCTCCTGCTTTTTAGGGCTTGTGTATTTGTGTGTCCAATTCGTTGCAGCTTCGGTTTTGGAGGTTTTTGATTTCATCTTTTTGTGTCAAAGAGCCATTAACCAAACATCCCTATACTTGAAAATTACTTATTCCCCACGCTTCCCAGTGAATTAGGGCAGGGAGGAGCCTCGGAACGCATCCGTCTCGCTCCAGGCTTGTGTGGTGAGGTCTCTGGATCGCCTGACACGCAGGATCCCAGAGAATTTTTTCCAGGGCCTTTCAGAAAAACTAAATAAACGCTAGGTGCAACGGGAAAGGAATTATTGGACAGCCAAATGGAGAATGTTATTACCTCCCTGTATAAAGTGACAGTGCTGAGTTTCTAGCGTCCTCCAGCTGAATAAGGATGGAAAAACTGGGAAGGGTTCAGAGGAGGAGAAGTACATCCGAATTTATGGAATGGTTTTGCTGAGAACAGCCTCTTTAAGCTTGGAAAAGAGACCAGGAGAATGGAGTGTAAAATGGGGGGTGACGTGGAGAAGACGGACAACTCCTTGCTGTTTTCAGATAAATAACAAACCTCACACCTACCAGATGCACCAAAGGTGTGGGCGGGCGTGACACTCGTGGAAAACCCATGTATGCACAAGGGACAAACCTTCCTGGCAAGGGCTTGGTGAACACACCTGGCTCCGAAGGTCCCTGAGCTGCTGGAGGCTGGGAGCGTGCCGCGAGGAGGGGTCGCTGCTCCTTCGCCCTGGTCACAAACCCCCTCTCTCCTCATCCTGTGCTGGAAACTGATCCCTGGGAGGGACCGTTGGTCTCACCCGGCGAAGGGGCTCTTGCGTCCCCAGGAGGTGCTCCCGGGGTGAGTCCTGAGCTCGCCTGGGTCCTTGGCTCACCAGGCTTGTGGTCACAGCAGCTTCCAGGTGGGCTGAGCCCTGCCTCTGCTCCTCCAGCCTTATTTCTCCTCCACTTCCAGCAGATTTCCCCAGGAGGGGTGACATACGGCGTTTCAGCATACAACTCAAAGCTGCAGCCGTCTGGCAATCTTCCAGCTATAGGGCGACCTGTGCCTGGGGAGGGCTTTTGCCTCCGGCAAGCCGTGAGTCCGGCCTTTGGGGCGCGACGCTCACCTGTCCCGCTGTGCTGGCGTACGGTCTCCGCTGGACAACCCCAGCAGCAGCGGTGGAAGGTTCTGGCTTGGGATCCTAAGGTAACTGTCTGCTTTCCAGCCCATCTCCACATTATGTCAGTCCCCTCTGAAAGGTGGGAACGGATCCTGCTGTAACCGCGTGGGTAAAACCGCTTTCTCGTACCCAGCACCATCCCACTCCCTCTGCCTGCCTGGAAACCTTCCGTTACCGCTGGGGAGGGACGGAGCTTTCAGCTTCTTGGTGGTTCACTCCCCTTCTGCTCTTTATTTCATCGCAGTTATCGCTCTTCGGAGAGACAGCGTTGGGCAGGAGCGCTGCCGTCGGGCTTCGGAGGCAGTACCGGGGACGAAGGTTGGTGGCTTCCCTCTGGATTCCGGTACCAAGGCTGCTGGTTGCACCGGACTTGGTGTTAGCAGCTGCCTTCTCGCTCTGGAAATGTTTTGTTACCGAAAAAGATGAGTTTTTTGGAAAGTGTGACTACTGGAGCAGCTTTAAAGGAAGGTACTGAATGTATTTGTGTATCGGAAAGCCGCTGAGAACGTGGCTTGGAGAGCCGAGGCAGAGTAAAGCAAGGAAAAGGAAGGGTTGAAAGATTCTGAGGAGTAAAAAAAATGCCACCACGAATTAAAAGCTGGTTGAGAGAAGTCAGCGTGAGGCGTCGTGGTGCCCGTCCCACTGCGCGCAAACGACAGCGCGGTGGCATTTAATGACTTGGAGGAAAAAAGAAAGGAAGCGGGTGAGCAGTTCTGTCACAGAGTTACCGAGTGGTGTGAAGTTATTGGGGCTGAATGAGACCGGGAACAGACCCGGCGCGTGGAAGGGGTGAGGTGAGGTGGCTGCCAGCGCGATGGGAGAAACCTCACGCGCGTTGGGAGATCTTTGAATTCGGCGGGGATTCTTCAAACCCTCCTCCCCAAAGGGAGAGGCAGGAGTCTGTCAGAGAAGCCTTATCGGGGTACAATTAAGATGTTGGAGTGCTGCCAGCTCGCCTCTGCAAACCGCGAGGGAGAGGCAGGGCACTGCCCCCGTGGCGTGGGGGAGCGAGGAAACCGAAGACTTCTGGGGACAAGAGCGTGCAGCGGAAGGAGAAAGGACTCCGGGAGCGACACGGGTTGGTTGTTGGAACACGTCTGTTCCGTGCTGCAGCTGCGTTGTCTCGTGTCGGGCTGTATCCAGAGGAAGGGACCGAAACCTTGCGCTGCACGCCGCAGAGGCTTGGGTACCCAATTCACATCCTCGCACGCGCTGTCGTGCACGTGACCCCGTGGATACCTACGCATTTGTGGGGACTGAACCCACAAACGACCAGTAGTTTCTGCTCGCCCAAGCTGTCCATCCCCGCTAGGGAGGGTGCGGAGAGCCCACGAAGAGCGTGTCCGTGGGTCCAACCTGCCGGATGTCGTCAGCGGGGAACTGCCGAGATGAGTACGGTCCGTTAGGGCCCTGGCTCCTGGCTGCGGCACCTAGAACTGCCTTCACGTGCGAGACGTGGCTACAAAACTCACTCCTGGACTGGTGTTTGTGGGGTTTTGTTTAAAAGAAAATCCATTCCCTCCCCTGCTGTTAGACAGGGATGTTTCTGTGCGCTTCTTAGCGTGGTGATTGACCAGCTTCTGTTGGCAACTGCTCGTCTCTGCCAGTTTTTCCTTATCCACACCCAAATCTGGGCAGCTGACTCTGGGCCGTCAGCTTTGCTGGGCAGCGTGGCGCCCACAAGTTGCGTGTTCGTTGCGGCACCTGCTTCTGGTTGTGGAGAGAAGCAATTTTAGGGGTTGGTTATAGGGAAGCATCATGGAATTTGGAAGGCTCGGAGAGCTCACACCGCAGTGTTCCAGCGGTGTGGTGCAAGGGACACGGTAGCGCTGGGGTACTCGGAGGGAAGGAGAGCAGGGTGGTGCGGTCACACGCTGGCAGGAACTGTGCCTTCAAAAAAACAGCCTGGAGGAAAGCTGTGGAGCTAATCGGAGCAGGTTTTGCCTATGAAGCACAGGGGATGAGTAAGCTAGGGAAAGGTTCTGTGGTCTGGGAGAGGCGGAGGGTCTCCAACAGGCAAAAAAAGCTAGGCAAATCCAAATGAAAGGCAAGGCTTGTGATTGTAATAGGTGCTCAGCCACCTCAGGAGCCTTCCTTGATTTGCCTAGGAAGGGTAACGGTAGAGGCTCAATCTCAC